AAAAAGATAATCTAACCGGCTATGTCTCTTTCTATACACAGTGGATTGACATATGTGTTTGCATTCGGGTTCGTGGGCTCCATCTTGTTTGAAACTGACTCTTAGCCACACCTTGTAGCACAAAGGGCTTGTCTGCATTCTCAGGGCGTTTTGGAACTTACCTCCCTCCCCTCAAAATTCCTTGCCCAAGATATGCTCCGGCTGCTCCCGAGTTTGGGCACCACCTCCAACACAAAACCTTAAAAACATCATAAAGCTTTGACTGTACATGACTGCACCACACATTGAGGTACCAACCTCACCTGTAAAGCTACAGCTCCAACCCTTTTCGGAAGGCTGCCCACACAGCTCACCCGCCCACTCACCAGTCTGTCGTTCCCTTTTGCCAAAGGACATTGGCCACGAAGGGTCCCACCAAACTCTTGGCGGCCTGGAGGAACCGCGGCTTTCCGCATGGAAACCCCCACGGCTTGGCGGGAAAGGTTCTCCGGTTCTGGCGAAGGGCTCTTTTTGGAGAGGCTGAGGAGCTGGTGGCTCCACTGGAAACATTCCCTGTTTGGGTGTTCAAGAGAGAGGACCTTTTGATGTTTCTTTGGGCATCTTTGGACCGTTCATGTCCTTTTTGCCCGGGAACGTCCACGTTCTCACCCTTTGGTGGGTCACAAAAACCGCACACTCTCCAACTGATCGAGTCAGTGTGTTTTCCTCACAGCCAGCACCGAGCCGGCCGAGCCACAGCGACCCCGCCACGAACGATGGGATTCTGCGCGGACCGTGCGACGGCGGGGCCTCTCGCACTGAAGCAAAGGCCGCCACCAGGATGAGGCCCCCCACAGGGAACCTGCCGATGTGTGAGGAGCCAACGAAGTTCCTAGCTCCAGAGACGAACGTCGAAAGAAATCAAGTTGCTTTAGATGGGTACGGCCGGTGCGGCACAGTTTGGAGAGTTGGGAGAAAGAAGGAGAGTTGAGAGTTGAGAGGACGTGTGGCGCATGTTGATATAGGAAGCTGCACACTGCACGCCGTACGCCCTACACCTCCAGTGATTCCCTGCCAACAGAGGAGACATTCCGGCCGTGGGCCTCAGCTGTCCCAAACGAAATCCCCTCCACTTCTTGGGACGAAGGCCAATCCCCTTTTGAGAAGGCATGTGGCTCTTTGCTGGTGATTGGCCATTTGGCAAGGCATTTGGCCCCCAAATAGATAGAAAAGTAGATCCTCACTAAACATGTATTGGGTGCCACTATCTATATTTGGGGACCACTATATATAGATATATTTAAAAAATGACCACAGCCTTAGATAGGGCCCTGGGACCTTAATGTCCTATAAATGTTGCTTAGGGTCCCCCCCATACAACACCTTACTCATCGACACCTCACAAACCCCTCAATTGTTTTCCATTCTCCAGGTAGCAAACCCCCCATCCACAGCCACGCCAACGTGAAACGTGAGCAGGAAAGTGGCCCCCGCACGCACACCAAAGCAGGAAAGCAGCCATCACACTCAAAACCAGGCAACAGTCAGGGCGGGTTGGCCTCTGGAGGAGGGGTCGATTAATTTAGTATGCTAGCTTGATCCAAGGTACACTGGGAGCATGATAAGACTAAAGCTAGACCGAATTAGACCCTGAATATTCTGACACTCACCTCGACGTCCTTAGTTACTTTGGTTCCTCTCTCTGTCTCTCTCTCTCTCTCTCTCCCATCCTGGCCTTCCGTGATAATTAATTGAGGGGCGTGCGACCTCTCCACCACCTCTTGATATGACCCTAGCTTGATCCAAAGTACACCGGGAAAATGCAGATTAATTTGTCTTATCCGACTTGGGTGTTTACCAAAATTGTCGACCAATTGTCGGAGAACAAAGAAGTTCCTTGAGACAAAAGTAATTCGTAGGTGACCCCCCCCTTCCAATTACAATTCTTTAGTAACTGTAAGTAGTGGAGGGATGTGGATGGGGTAATCTTAAAGCATTCTAAATACAGCTCGACAGCTAGATGCTAACACCTTCCCCTCTCCTCAAACCATCCGTGACTCCGTGAATCCGTGACGCTTCGCGACGTCTCGGCACGTCTCGGCGCGTCTCCGCGGGTCCCGGTGTCTCTCCACCGCCTACTGGCCAAGTACACGGTCGGACCGGAGCCCACGGATCGACCGAAGAGGATGATCTGCTCATACCTCAAAGGACGATGCCATCAAGTCAAGTCATGAGCCCAAGTCATGATGGCACGTGGACTGGAAGAGTGGAGGCAAAAATGGTGGCGCATCCTGAAGTGGCGCCTCCCACCGACCACCGACCCCACCGATTTTCTTGTGCCGATCTCTGGAAAGGGCGCACGCAACCTTCAATTCATCCAGAATGAAGCGGAATGCCGTGAGGGTCACCTACCAAGGCATGGACAATGCTGCACTTCGGCGCTGAGTGCTCAATGACAACGCCACTGTGTAAGCCCCCCCTACTTGGATCACCCACGCATGGTTCTCACCTCTCAAAAACATCCGTCGATGCTGCTTGGCTGGGAAACCTCCGTCGCGATTCCGCCGCGGGAACCGCTCCCGCGGGAGGCGGTGGCTTTGGGTCGCGCTGCCTCTTTCAGAGCTGCTTCCGAGGACCGGGAGATGCCATGAAGCAGCCCGTAGCCTGGATACCTGGAGACGAGACTTCGTTGGAAAGAAGGAGTCAGACGGACTGAATCTGACTGATGCCCAGAAAGGAATGAGGGAATGGACCTTAAGGTATATAGTTATACTGTAGTTATAGTAGGACAGTAGGGGGTTCATTCCCTCATCCCCTGCGAAGCACCATGGGTTGCTTTGACTTATGAAACTTATGACTATATATCTGGTTTGATGTTCGAGGTTTTTTGGAGTCTTTCCAATATGTGTAAAGAATATGTTTAAACAATAAACACCTCTGGAAGGTGGATGGAGCAGCACCCTGCGAGAACTCTATGGTCTTGTCAAACTTCAGGTGCAAGCATTTGAATATTTTGATATATTTTGAATAGTGTACGAGTGTAGATCGAGCACAACAAACACAGCGGAATCTGCAAACTATATAAATCAAAGTACAGTAGGACCAGGACACCTCGAAGACATAATGTTGCCGAGGCAAAACTGCACACCGAACAAAGAGCATTTCTCACACGTGCGTCTTTGTCGGAGCTGCTACTTCAGGGCACTCCACTGCAAGGACGTTCATCTTGAACTGGTCCCGCATGTGACGTACCTCAGGGTTTGTCCAAGTCAGTCGGACTGACTTGCTTTCGACCGCATTGGCCACCGTTTCACTGAGCTCGTGGCAAATGGGAAACACATCCCGAGATCCTGGCGGCCGAACGAGGCTCCAAACCCGTCAAAGAGCATGGAACCCAAAGAGTCATGTTCCGCCGCTAGTTCGAAGTGGGGAAAATGGGGATGAAAACCCGAGTTGGATGGTTTTGCAGTGCCCGATTCTGCCCTCTGTTTGCAACTCAGTCATGCAAAACATGACCCGTTTGGTGGAGATTGCTCTGAACTTATGAGCAGCAAAGCAAACGAGGCAACGAAAGGCGAACCATTTTGATACGAGCTTGGGCCTTGTAAGGAAAAAGTGATCTTAGACTTATCATGGCCCGTGTTCGGTGTTGAGATTGTCCAGCCTGTACCTGATGTAAAGCGATTGCAAATGGTCAGTGCATCACCGGACGACTCTTTTTGTTCGCTTCTTCCGCGCGCAGAGCGTCCTGAAGCCGGAAGCGTCTTGGACTGCCGGACGTGATCAAAACCATTCGAAACAAAAACCCCTCAAGGCCATGGTTGGCAAAGTGTGGCGCCGGGCTGGCTTGATAGACCCCTAGTAACTCAGGCCATACACTTGCCGAAAGAAGCTTCGAGGAGAAAGCTTCAGCTATGGACCAATTGCAAAGAGACTGCGTGCGCGCGTGGTTTTGCAGGCACGTGCCTGCGAGAGAGTTGCCACATTTGACATGGCAAATCATCACATCACACCACGAATCACCGCATCCCCCTTCACCAAAATAAACCATTACATCGCACCTTGCGACAACACAAACTGCCAAAAACTAATTCAGTATACTTTAGCACACCTTCAGCATACTATGACACATCACATTCTTCACAAACCACCAAACCATCACTGACATCACAATGTCAGCACATCCAAAATCAGGACAGAACACAACACTCCAGTAACACCCATGCACACATTGCAAATAAATAAACATTATACTCCCGGGACCTAACATGGAAGTGGAATGGCCCCTTGGAAGACCCTTTTCCTCCAGAAACAGGGGGTGAACTCCAGTGAGTGTAATATCAATCCCGTCGTTGCTCAGAAATTCACTAAGACCTCACCTCATGACCTTCACCACATCACCCATCTCACCGCCTTCCTCCTCATGGAGCCAGAACTTGTGAGACAAGGTGAGCTGAGTGACCACCACTTGACCAGACCCGTATGAGCCCATATATGATATGATGTACATGAAGGTATTCAGGTATTTGCCATAAAGCTATACAAAGCCTGTCATGGTGCTTCACAATCCTTGATCACCCCAAATGGGCCAGCAAGCCCTCAAAGCTCTTCAAGCGACACGTCGGCATGCCTCCATCTGCACACTGTCGGCGTCAACACAGCCTAAGCGCTTCAGAATGTAGCGGCGACTTCGTGTCGATGAACTTACATCCAAACGTAGCAGCCAGCATTTAGCATTTAATTGGATCTTATTGGAAGACACCCACAGACTAGGTTCCATTTTTCTGATAATTGTACGTATACGAACGTAAACCAATCAGTGGGCTATTTGGAGGTGACAAAAGTGTCCCGCATTTTTAGTCTCCAAACTCATGAGTCCTGTAGGTTGCTACTGCTACGGCCGCAGTCAGGACTGCTAGACCTTCAGGAAAACCAAGGCGAGTCCAATCCTTCTTCCCGGAAAACCGCACGAAGGCACAGTCGCTTGCTACAAAAAAAGTCGCCTGAACAGTTGGACGAATGATGACAAATGGATCTTTGCAAGCACTCAGCGCATGTGAAGATTGCAAGCCAGCTGACATGGGTCCATCGATAATGGGGTCCTTGCACCTCGTGCAGGACCAAGAAAACAGTCCAGGACCTACTGTGACCTGATATCGACATCCCAACAGGGACCCTTGGAGGGCTTAGAGGACCCACATCCACCTACTGCATCTTCTCGAACACCTTTGTATCTGAAAGCATGCAGCGGCCAAGGACTGAACGCTGGTCACTGAAGTGCGCGGTTGCCGCATGGTCTAGAATGCCTGGGCTGCATAGACCCCAGCGGACCGGTGTAGGACAAGGCTCATGGTGCCTAAAAATCCGTCGACTAGTTTTCGTTGTCGGTGCCAAGGGCATTGTTCACCTTGCCAGGGACGACATCATGTCATGCCAGGAATCAGCACCAGCACCGGCCCCCAGCACCAGCACGCCACACAAAACACCGATCCAGAGCCACACCATTGAGAAGTAAGAACCCCTATAGCTTGCAGCTATCTGAGGGGAAAGCAGAGCAATAGCGACTCCGCTCTTCATAAGCCGAACATCCAACGAGGGGGCCTCAGAATGCCAATGGTTTGATCCACCCAAACGGATTCTGAGCCCACAAAAGACGCCCCCCATCTCTCTGAAGTTCCTTCGCCCCACGAAACCTTCCTCAGCTCCGGAGCTCCGCGAAGGTAGGGTCGAACGTCCTTCGCACATGAGGTATGGCACCCTGTGCGAGCTTGGACCGACCTGAACAGCCCAGGTTGGAAGGGATCAGACAACATGAATGGCCTTTGCTTGAGGGCATTCTCCAGTGCATCGTTGGTGGGAATGCACACGACTGGCATTCTCCAGTCCAGAATCTTCAGGGATTCCCTGAAGATGTCCTGGAAACCTCTGCATCGTGACGTGTCATTCATCTCTTTCGTGCCCACCAGGTCGTTTGGAAAAAACGGCAAAACGCGAAAGCCTTGACGTTTGGGTCCAACGGCCTTCACTCTACCGAGGAGCTACGGTAGGGCCAACATGTGACCCCCAGAAAGGACAAACCACGGGGATTCGGTCCCCACAACGAGTTCCTCCCAGTTCCCCAAGTCTGAGTGAGAATGACTGAGAATGAGTGAGAGAATTCTGGTAGAAGGGGTAGAAGCCGTAGAAATGAGAAAGAATACAAGTCTGATGATTGAATAGAACAAAAATGCTAAGCTGAAAGAAAAATGCTAAGTGGTTTTCTTTGGGATTGATGTTCATCCTGAAAGCCAAGTGACTGGAGAGACTATGATGAAAAATGATGCAAACCAACGGCGTGGACGACAGTGTTGCTATGGTTTGCTTTAGGATTGTGTGACGAAGCGAAGCTATGTGACTCATCAAGGCGAATGCTGTGAACCCTCCTATGGTCGCGTCAGTACCTGTTTTATGCGTGTCCATTATTTTTTGGTCGGCAAGCTCTACAAGTGAAGGTCAAGCCCTCCAGCAGAACAAAAAGAAGAACTAAACAAACTGAAGGTTCAGAAGGACTTACAGCTCCGGTGGTGTCTTACAGCTCACTGAGCCTAGTGAAACGAGCTCCCAACCCCAACGGGTCCCCACACGTTCCAGGCACCGCACCAAGCTCTCGGCCGGCGGCCCGGCCTGGTCCGTTGGGGTTGGTTGATCTGGCTGGTTGGTCCCTTCCTTTCACTACAAGAATCGAATTCCCAACGTGTTCTTTGAGTCCCCCCAAAAAAGGCATCAATAAAGAGTAGAGGGTTCTTTTTGCTTCACGCAAGAGGATTGATTCGCCCCCTCACCTGACACTCCTCTGGTTGAACAATTCATCTTCACTTCTTGTTTGGTCTGTTGCATTGATAGTTGTATAATTCCTTGCTTATGCAATTCAATTCCAGCACCACACAATCTTCGTATGTTTGAATGAAAGAGTAGCCAATGAATGACGGGGGCATTGAATCGTGTTGAGATTCCTAGATAGATTGAGAAAGGTAGGAAGAGATAAGTCTCAAAGGACCTCAGAGTCATGATGATGAAACGATGAAACACGTGCACACTCACAGTGGCCCACGCTAACTAATGGAAAAAAGACATGGTTGTTCAAAACAACATGCTCGACCTCATCTGTCGACACATCTGTCGACACCTCTCGCGCATGCATTTCTAAGATGAATGCAGCACCGTTGATGGACGAAGGAGTCCGGCAAATCTGCTCGAGATATTGGTCTCCAGCATTATTCAACTAAGAATTCGTCTTCAGAAGTCACCAAATGCTACACGAGTGATGGAGCTCAAAGACTGTGACGGGCCCATGGGCCCACCGAACAGCCGTCCCACAGCAGGCTGGCTTTGTGCTTCTGTGGTGTATGACCAGCCGCTCCACTCGCAAGGTTTGATTTCACCAGTAGGCCGATGCACTTTCTCCACAGCGACAGTGGCAAAGATTGCAGCTGTTGAGGCAAGCCCAGATTTCTGACACAACTGCCACTGGTTCCCTTGGGACACTCTTTGGTTCATTCGTTGGCCCAGTTCCAGGATCCCACAGAAGAGGTGACAGGTGACAACATGTCCCGCGGTCGCTGCGCCACCTGAGCGCCGCCGCAACGACTCACGGAAGCGCTCCAAGTTGGCCCAACTCGTTGGCAGCCGAAGGCACTACCCAGAGAATGGATCCCCGACCACATGGGGGGTCACGGAGTCTGGGATGCTCAAGTCTGTCAAAGAGGAGCAATCCTTGAAGGCAGCATGCCCAAGGTAGGTCACTGAGTTCGGGATGGTCAAGTTTCTCAAAAAGATGCAACCCTCAAAGGCACAATCCCCAATGTGGGTCACAGAGTCCGGGATGCTCAAGTCTGTCAAAGAGGTGCAATCCTTGAAGGCAGCATTCCCAATGTGGGTCACTGAGTTCGGGATGTTCAAGGTCACCAAAGAGCTGCAAACCTCAAAGGCACCATCCCCAATGTGGGTCACTGAGTCCGGGATGGTCAAGTCTGTCAAAGAGTGGCAGTTCCTGAAAGCACAATCCCCAATGTGGGTCACTGAGTTCGGGATGGAAAAGTTTGCCAAAGAGTTGCAATTCGCAAAGGCCTGATTTGCAATGTGGGTCACTGAGTCTGGAATGGTCAAGTTGACCAAAGAGCTGCAACCCTCAAAGGCACAATCCCCAATGTGGGTTATGGAGTTCGGGATGAATAGGTTCCCCAAAGAGCTGCAATGCTGAAAGGCCCAAATCCCTATGTGGGTCACAGAGTCCGGGATGGTCAAGTTCCTCAAAGACCTGCAAAGCTGAAAGGCACAATCCCCAATGTGGGTCACAGAGTTCGGGATGGTCAAATTTGCCAACGAGCTGCAGACCTCAAAGGCACCAGGCCCAATCTGGGTCACTGAATCCGGGATGGTCAAGTCTGTCAAAGACTCGCACCTCCTGAAGGCAGCGTGCCCAATGTAGGTCACTGAGTTCGGGATGGCCAAGGTCGTTAAAGAGTTGCAATTGGCAAAGGCATAATCTGTAATGTAGGTCACTGAGTTTGGGATGGTTATTTTTGCCAACGACTTGCAGTTCGCAAAGGCACCATGTCCGATGTCGGTGACAGAGTCTGGGAGCATCAAGTGCGCCAACTGGATGCAATTCGCAAAGGCATGACTCCCGATGCATGTCACTGAATCAGGGATTGTCACCTTCGCCAAGTTCTCGTAATTTACAAAGGCCGCTGGACGAATTTGAGCTTCATCACTTGGGATCTCGACCGCCAGCAACACTTCGGAGTCAATGACACCCGCAAGAGAGGCAAGCTCCTTTCGGTTGGAGCATCTCGCAATGTTTGCCTTGAAAACAACACTCACAGCCGCATCTCCACCCAATCCTGCGTCAAATACCTTCTCGTCATTGCCCAGCAAACTTTTATCTTCAAGCAGTATCTCCACACCTGTCGTCTTGCGAGTTAGCTCATCCCAAGGCTGTCCCTCCTTGATCCGCTGCTTCAGCTCCCGGCCCGTCATCTCTGGCGTGACTTCAAGCGCCAGCACTGCACCACTGGGCTGTAGCGCCAAAACCGTCCTCGCCATGGCTACACCCTCTGAAACGATGATGGAAGTGGAACATAGGCTCCTGGGTCTTCCCGTCTGAGGGGGCATCTTCTCAGCTTCCATTGAGGGAGGGAGGGTTTTTGCTGATATCTCCTGAATTGACTGCGATTCGTATGCAAGCCAATCTCTCTCATCTCTGCGAGCCAAAAGCAAAACAGTTCTACGAACAATCATTTGTGAATACAGTAGCTCCCAGCATATAGTTTGTAGAACCACAAGCAATAATTCCATCCTTTTAGTTCCCAATAGTTCCCAGCCTTCTGGGAATTCAAACACCTGTTGCATGTCCAACTCCACGACCCCCTTTCGACCAAGCGTTTGCCAAGCGCCTCCAGCAAGTGAAGCTTGAGTATCCTCTCCTGAAGTGGCCATTCATGCATTCAAAAGCATCATCCAATGTATAGACCCTTGACCGGGTCAGTCGGTCGCCCTTTTGGGTCGGCAGCTGTCAGGTCGGCAGCTGTCGGGTCGGCAGCTGTCGAGGTGACCGTGACATCCACAAGAATTCATGGAGAAATCCATGTTAAAAAAAAGCGGTTTCAGAAGTTTCAAGGGCACAGACATAAGACATATTGACCTTCAGCTGGTTTCATTCGGGCACCGAATCCCATGTGCACGGTGATCCCATGATCCCATGATGTCCCTTTTCGATGTCCTGGGGAATTTTCTTTGGAACCTACCGACCTTGGGGTCTGTGCCATCTACATCCTCTCAATCCACTAGAAGGAACCATGTGGCTTCTCAAAACCACCCAAAACCCACCGATTGACCGACCGGTTGACCATGGTCGACCGACACCCTCAGGGTGGACCGGTCGAGCTTCTTCACGTTGGACCCGGGCTCCTCATGTGGGGCGTCTCGGAGGTTCTTGCGAAGCTTTCACCCACCATACTGAGGAGATGACCGATGAGTCAACACGGCGGAGACGGGTTCTTTGCTTTTGGAGTGTTTGGTTCCTTGCTCGTGACCGGTTCTTTCGACATGTCATGCTTGGAGCATGAGGAACTGGTTTCCGCATGACAACCATTCGACTCTGCCCGTGTCTTGCAAAATGAGAGGACATTCCAACCATTCTTTTCATCTATACTTTCCCTGCCCAAAAGCACCCGTCCTCCTTTCCAGAAAACTGGTGGCCAAAAACAAAGCAGATCCTGCAATGGTCTCCCCGAATCTGATGCATCGGTTCACCTCCTGTTGTTTTACAGCAAAAATCGCTCGTAGGATCTCGTAGGTGCAGTTTCGTGAAGCCCAAAGTGCATTTGACCTGTCCACACCATTTTGCCCAAAGCTCAGTCCAATATATATATATATATATATTCAAACAGGGGAACACCTGCAAACGCTTCCTCGACTTGCACCATCCTTAACCACATGCAGCCCATCTTTGATTCATCTGTACCCCATTGATATATCTTGAGATATGCTTTTGCACCCCTCCATGCAGCAACCAGATAGCTCACACCGTTCACTGCCCTGCCCCTCGACCTTGAGCACTTCGAAAAGCACCGAGGTAGTAGGACCCAGAAAGGCCCTGCGGCGCTGCGAAAGGCTTTGAGGGACCTTAATTAAAGAAAACAAACCTGGGACTTCATGTTATAGCAAGAAAAACTATGGAAAACACATAACAAAACGACGCTGGTGAAACATGGCGAAGAGATGTCTCGCATGGTTCACCCCGGACCTGTCTGCTGAAAAATGCAAGGTGTTTTGGAGACGAAACCCTGCGGCCTGAAATGCGCTGCGACCGAAGGAAGAAGCTTGCAACACCTGACAACATGCCGATGTCAGATCTGGAGAGAAATTCAGGTCAGCACTGTCAGTGCTGTCAGTTGTTCCAATCCAATGGTTTAGGGCCAAAAAGAGTAGTGCCCACGTGTGTCTAAAGCGTCGACCCTGTGGAACATGACCAAACCACAAAGCCTCCTCCCATTGAGGTGGCCCAGCACAACAGTTCTCCCGTGGATGGTCGGATTCGAGCGAAAGCATCTCGTGAAAACGAAGTCTGCATATCGAGTGCGCAAGCGGCTAGCGGCTAGCGCCTCTCAATCTCCTCATCCACCGGATTCTGATTTGAGATGATTTAAGTCAGATGGATCTGTCACACGCTCCGGTCCAACCCTGCGGCCCGTCCGTCCTTTCTTCAATGCCACCCTTCTCTCCCTGGGGCCGGACGTCAAAACACGCAAAAGAAGAACCGGTCGACCAAACCCTTGTTTTCAAGTTATTGTCATGAACACATTTGATGGAAAAGACGATTGACTGTGGTATTATCCCAAGACGACTTGATGGATAAGACCAAACCCTTGTTTGTTATTATCCCATGCATTTTCACTTTGCACGACAAGAAACGTTTGTTGTTTGTTCTTGCCAGGCTTGTGCTACTTTCATGTTCCCAAGTCCTGCTTTAGGATGATGTCCTTTTCCGTGCTTGCCGCAAAGCAACAGCGCTAAACCATACAAAATCGGTTGCGTTCTTCCGGTTGCGACTCCACTGTGCTCGCTCAACGAATACCCTTGTTCCCGGCCCGGTCCGGTGGGTGGAAGGGTGGGAGAACGACGCGTTGGATCTGCCCATGTCACACCAGCACTGTCATGTATATCGTATCAGCACTAGCATGACAGTATTGATCCCCAGACTCCCCACCTTTCGCGTGGCTCCCCCCCAAACTCACCCTACAGTACTTAGTTCGGGTCGCGGCGGCAAACAACAAAGGCGCCCCACCTTCCAATACGATCGCGCCCACCGTAGTGGATCCATCTCCCTCAGCGGTCCGCTCCCTTTGGGCTGGGGGGAGGTTTTCCCGCTCCGCCTCCAGGAGCTGATCAAAGATCACGTGCTCAAGCAAGCCGTTGCAAACCTGGCAAGTGTTGCATCTTTCGAGATGATGTGCCCCCCTGCCGGAGCTGCAGCGAGGTAAATGACTTTGGGAGGGAGATGTCCTGGTCTGCCATCAAAGTTGGCAGAGATTCACCTGTGCTGGCTAAAATTGGAAAGGAGATGAATAACTCATCCCAGCCAGCTAAACTCTACGTAGCACCCATTTTAGTCGAGTCGATGATGTTTGGTGGACATCAAAAACAAAACGGTCATCGAGCGGATGTCAACTGCGATCAGGAAAATGGTTTGGACTCCAGGTGAGATTCTCTCTCTTTCTTTAAACATGAGGATGCTGGGCAGGCTCGGATGGCTCCAGCCATCCCCTGGGCGCCGCAGCAGGTCGCGCCAGCTGCCGGAAAACATGCGACGGCTGGAGGCGTCCGTTCGGTGTGGCCCTTGTCATCCAAGTTTGCCCACTCTCCATGAACGGCCACCGTCCAGTCTGAAAAGAGATGTTTTCGCCTGCTTCTGTCACGGACCACTAAAGGCTACAACGTCAAGCACATCAAGAAAGGACCAGTCAAGCACGGCCGCAAACGCTGTCTTCAGGGCAGACAAAGGCCAACACCGGCGCCAGTTGTGCCACACATTCGCCTTGCTTGGTCAAGAGCACGGGAGGCAGCATCCACATGGCAAGCAGTTCCCACTCACTACACCTCCATGAATTGACAAGAAGCTGACACATGGAGGTTGACACATGCCGTTTACACGGGCAAGAATTTTGTTGGCACAGTACATGTCCAAAACATGTCCAACGAACAGGCTAAACAACATCGATGCATCATATGCATCGGTGGTTCTGGGTCACCAACACTCAGCCAAAAGCCAGCTTGACGCAAAGCAACAATAAATAGATAAATACATATATATAAATATAAATATATATATTATATATATATATATTATTATTATGCAATCCTTTTCCAAGCTACAGCGACCTGTTGCACTTCGAGCAACATGTCGCACTTCGCTTCCTCATTGGACAACATCATCTACGACTCGACGAGCTGTCAGCTTGCTCTTCGCCTTCATGAGCCTTTCCTCTTTCGCTGGGGAAGACCTATGACTCGAAGAGTTCCAGTGCCTGCCAGCACCACTCAGACCTCTCAGACGTCTCAGACATCAGTCACCTCAGTCACCTGCCCGATTGGTTCGAACCTATTCGACTCCAACGATCGGTCACTGGGCCTAACTAAAAGAAGAGTATAACGGTTAAAACAGTCCGAACGGCCGTTTCGTTTCTCCTTGGGAATCGAATTTGAACAATTATTGATGAGATATATATTATGATTAATATATAAATATGATTATTTGTACACGCCCCTTCTGATCCTTCTACCACAATATAAAAGGTAAAAGCCATGAATGCAGCAAAAATGGGCCCAACCTGCTGTCCCCACCGCCCCCACCGTTCCCCGTTTCTTCCCCACGCTCTCCCACGCTCCCCATCTCCGCCTCGCGGATCTCCGCCTCCCAGCGTCGGTGCCGGGCCAGGCGCCAGCCCTTCAGGGTCACACGCGTGAGCCTCGGAACATCCAAGCGGCGTGAACTTGCGGTCAAACCGTGGAAGGACTTCGGTGTGGGTTTGGGGCCGAACGGCGGGGTCTGGGGAGGAAGGTGAAAGAGGAAGGTGTTGATAGGTTTTGGGGGGTTCAGAGTTACGGTGAACAAAGGGGAAACACCGACTTGCAGTGGATGGGAAGAATGCAGATGGGAAGAACACTTAAGTGTATATTCTCTGTTCATCATAGCGTTCGTCCATGATGTGTTTTTTGGTGATCTAGAGAGGAAGAATCGTTTCAGAAACTCTACTCTGCCTCATGTGTGACATGTGTGTGTGTGTTTTATTGTTTTTCCTGGCGGCTTTGTGTGAGTGTTGCAAGTTCTTCCAAGAACTGTTCAACCGAAAAAGTCCGCCCTTCCAAGCTATGTCTTGCCCTGATCTCGCCTCTCCAAGTCACCAGCAACTCCACTTGGCCGCACCACCTGAAGTCCGCATCTGATCTTCAGCTTTGAACTCATTAGGAATCTGTAGGAACTTCTGGGAACAAGAAAAGACCCAAAGTTCGTCAACTGAGACTTTCTCTCCACACCGAAAAAAGATGGCGATCACTTCGAACACGTGGCGTTTTTGATCCGACCTCCGCGGGGCGGGAAAAAAGCGCAGGGGCCTCCGTGGACAGCAGATCGTCCTCGAAGGCGGCCAGCTGTTCGCGCAAGCGTAGCAGCTGCGACAGGCGCAAGAGCTGCGCCGGAGCACTGGCAGGGATATTTGGAGGAGGAGCAGGAGGAGGTCTTCAAGAGTAAGTGCACTGGTCTGTCCTCGTGCCAACGAACCAGGTCTTTCTGCGAGCAGGAAGAACGATGCCATAGTCATCTCCATACCGAGTGAAGTTTGGTCAGCCAAACTGAAGGTCAGGAGGCAGGTGGGCAAAGAAAAAACTTTGCTGGGTACAAAAAGGAGCAGCTATTCCTTCGTGCCATGGTTTTGAACAAATCTGGTACAACAAACAGAATGGGTTTTCTCAGTGCATTTCACTTCGCTTGAAATCTCTCCAGACTGGTCCACACTTCAGGTAAACGAGCATTTCTGGACCTGGTATCGACATAGATAGACAGACTGGTTCATCACCTTCCACCAATTCCAGACCATGCTGCCTTGGGAGGCCACCGTCTGCAAGGACCATGCTTCAGCCTCTCCCCTCCCACGCGGATCCCGCGGCCTCTCCAGGTGGACAGCTTTCGTGGAGGGTCCCAAAAGCATGTTGGCCAAGCTTTCGAAGTCAGGTGTCTGGCAGCAAACACAGCAACTCACACCGATCCCGCGGGCTGTCTGGCTCGTCGGTCTAGTGCTCGGTCAGCAGAGAACCCACGGGATCCGATCCGTATCATCCGTGCGGGCCGGAAGCGGTTCCGGAGAGAGAACCAGATATGACCAGATTCCTTCCAAGCCTGCAAGCTGAAGATTGCTCTTCTTCGAAACACCCGTATTTTTCACTTTACAACACTGAAATCGAATGAGTGAAGGATTTTGTTTGGCACACCAACCGAAGCGGGACTTGCTTCGTTTCGAGAACCCCCTTGGTGTTGGCTCACATCCGAAGGAGGTTCTTGTCGCCCAAGAGTGAACACCGCCTTCCGCCAACTCCATGTTCACCGCCTTGGCGGCTTGTTCTGCATCTGCATCTCTGTTTCTCTTAGGCTATACCGGTCCTCGACAGACCTCGCGAGACCTCGGTCGCCCCACATCGAACGGGGAGACCGACAGAGACCGCCAGGGCCTCTAAGACTCGGTAGCAAGCGGCCAAGAGCTTCAGGGCTCTGTCGTTGAAGCCAGGCACCTGGCCGCCCCGTCGGATGGCCGGGCTTGACTTGTTCGATGTTTTCGCTCGGATCGGCTTGACCTGTAACCCTGACTGGTGCGACGAAAGTGGTGAATAAGGAGTCAAGGAGGTTCAGCTTCTAGGGACTGAGAGAGATCCCCGGATCTTCGGCTTTTGAGACTTCCTTCACATGGATTACAGTATAAGGGAAGGTTTGCCCCCGATAGAGAATGCATTGGATTGATTCCATTGGATGCATTCCCTCCTAAGCACATGTCAGTTTTTGATACTGGGAAGAGGGTCGTGTTTTTCATGGGCTTTGGACGGCTTCTCGGACCTAGTGTGGCCCAAAAACAATAAAAGAACTTCGGTCGGTGACTGCTTTGGGTGATATAATCTTAAAACACAATGTAAACACGGAGTTGAGGAACCCCCCATTCATTGTGGCCAAACATGTTCCGGAACCATACCGACTGCCGTTCGGTTAAACTGGCATCTTCTGGCCAATGTTCCAAATCTGAGGACCCAGGACCCCCTTCCCCGTTTGGGCTGACCCAGGACCGCCTTCCAAATTTGAGGACCCTTGACCCTGAAACGACCCCAATTCGTAAACATATTTCCAGTCCCATCGGTCGTCTTTTGGTCATGTTGTTCTTTTTGTTTATCCAGAACAATATAAGCTTGCCAAAAGGAAGAAATGAACAAAGCCACTCAACCAAGACTTCTGGAGATGATGATCGACCATTCCGAAGGACGGACAAACAACATAAAGGCAGGGGTACCTTCAGGCGGGGTGTGTGTGAGTGTGCGTGTGTTTTAACTGTGCCATACACTGCCTTTGGGCTGGTTGACCACTAGATAGCTTAGCAACAAAGCAGTGATGCTTCAACCCCACGCAAAGAGGTTCTGTAGAACTCTAAAATCTCCACACACCTGCCAATTATGCGAGATTATATATACTATATCGGACGCGTCCAACGGACCGATGATCAGCGAATCCGACATGGTGCAATGGTGGTGCTTTCATAGGTGCAACATGTGCGAAAACCACCGGAGGGGAGAACGACTCAGTTCGCTGTTCGCAAGCAAGGATCTGATGCATCCTTCTCCAAGTCCACTGCAGACCTTGCAGCATGGCCACCCTTTGATGGACTTGGAGAGATCGTCACCTGGTCCCTGACTGGATCCAAGCACATGGAGATTGCACCACGTGAGGTTCATCTTCTGTTGATCCCCATCTCCAACTTTTGTGGTTGTCCAACAGGGCGAATCAAGGGCTCACAAGAAGAACACGTGTTCAACACATCTGCATGATGGAGGAAACACACTGGGACTTCACAAGCTTGACCCCACATAGAGGAAAAAGCTTGTGAATCTCTTTTCCCTGAAAAGGTTTGGCCAAAAGTGTGATTTCGGATCCGCACGTGACAAACCAAGACCCAAGCGACAAAGACTTCGCCAAGCGTCAACTCTTGACGCGCCAACCGCACCAGCTGCTGCTGTGCTGCAGCGAACATCTCCCGCAAAGCCAAGCGGACCTGTTTTTCAGCTGACGAAAGGCTTTGGTATCTGCACGAACTCGGACCCTATGTGCCACATGTCGGACCCTACGGACCCTGCTCGACGTGGTCAGACAGGGTAGAGGGTGTCTTATGAACCGGTGAAATAGCCTCCTCATGCCTCCTCTAATGTATTCTTGAGAAAGATCTGGGGCATGCCCTTCAAACAAGCTACATTCGGGCTGTCAATTAGGGGATAATATTTAAAGTTTAAAGGACGGAGATTCATTCTCAAGGAGAAAAACAAAGAAGGACCGGAACTTCCACATTCCTTCAACACCTCCTTCCTTTCGGCAATCAGTCAAACCAACAATTCCACAAAGTATGCCCTTTCTGCAACCCCTGTTTCCATGCACAAAATTCTGAGTGCCCTGGCGGACACCCAGGCAAACCACTTCACGAAAGCCTTTGGCATAACAAACCTCCGCGCATGCGTGCGGATCCGCGAGACAACGCGCCTCAAGAGCCCCCCGGAAGTCTTGGAGCTCTGCCTGCGAGTTTCGGAAATGCTACAAATCAGGTGGATGTGCTGTGCTTATTCTAACCCCAAATGTCTTGCTTCTGAATGTAGCAAAACGGCTCTTAGTCCTCGAGACCTTCATTGACCTGCAGACCTGGCTGTGGCAACTTCCGCGTCGGTGGATACCATGAAAGAGACCACTAGTTGCACTCCAAGAGGCCACCAAGGTGGCAGTGGGAAAGGAACTGTTGCTATCAAGATCAGGAAATGAAAGGAAAAGAGAACCCAACTGTTGCTGTCACGAGTTCAGGCCAGATTCACTTTGAGCTTAGCTCGAGACCAGAAGCCTGCTGCGTACAGCGTCCAACGAATGTGGTCAAGACGTCTACTCTCTGTGACTTGAGAGGACGGGACAAAACTGCCTGCATCTTTTTCTTTGGGTCGTCTCGTCTGATCTCTGATCTCCGTGTCCACTGTGGGCAGTGGGTCATGGCACCGGGCTCGCCTTCAGCAGCTCCGCAGCGCTTGCCAGGGCCTCCCACGACTCGTGCTCACGCAAGGCGGGCAGCAGCACCTCGGGTAAACCCGTGGGTGAAAGGAAGCCGCAGGAAAGCTCCAGGAGAAGCCGCAGGAAAGCTGTTGCAAATGATTCTGATCGGGTTCGGCCAAGGCGGTGCTACAAATCGATCTTTCCTGAGTTCATCAATGCCTCTTATGCTTTGATTCTTGATGGAAAGGTCCCTGTTCTCTGGGCTCTTCAAAAGCCGTGGGTCGACGTGTTGTTCGCCCCAAGGGTGATTGGGAGCCCCCAAAACTGCCGCTCAGATCGGAAAGGGTCCCACCTGGCAACACCGGTGGCAGAGCTCCTTCAAAAGGGACTGGAGCGCCTTGAAGCGAAGCCAGCGAAGCGAGTTACGGCACCCGTCCTTTCCTTCGAAGACGCCCAGTGGCCTCCAGTTCTCCCATGCGAGAGGGAATGAAAAACAAGGACATCAAGAGATCAACCACCCGGCTGGAAAAAAAAAGGCTATGGTCCACTCCTGAGACGCGCCTGGGACGCTCCTGGTCTGCCCGGTCTGCGCGGGTTTTAAAGGGAAACAAGTCTGGGCCACTTGTCAACGTCATCCACCTGCAGTCTGGGCCATCAAATATGGGTTGCTGGGTGCGTGTTTGTTCTGTATGACGACCATTCACTGGACTCCGATCAAGGACGACCATTCAATCCTCCACCCACCTAAACTACAGATCGTCAGCTGTTCATAACAGTAACCCATGCTGTTCATGGGAAGCTCCAAAGTTCTGAATGGATTAAATGCAACACACACCAGAGCAGAACTGATGACTTTGCACGTGAGTTGCATGTTCGCTGGATGATCTGTCTTCCCATGTTCTTCCCATGGTTTCCATGAGCAGAACCCTCCCCCAGCCAGCGAACCGTCTCGGCTGTTCGGGTTCCGTTCGGGTTCCGTTCGGGTTCCGTTCGGGTTCCTCGGAACGGCCTCCTGGGGCCGCCGTGGCTCGAAGAAGGCTTCGAAGCAGCGGATCTCCCGCGAGGAGGTGTCCAACAGGTAGCTCGTGGCTTGCCTGGAAAGAGATGGCGCCATGGAAGGAAATGACAGAAATGACAGAAGCACCCACGAATCAGGAAGGAGTCACTGGGTGTGCCTGATGAAACGCAAATGTCTGGTGGTCACTTGGTGGTCAAAGAAAAACGATGAGTCCTTTTTTGCCATGATGTAGTGGAGCCATTGTTGTCCGGTACTGTAGATTACATGATTGCATGGATGTTTGGAATCTATCCTCTTCCGATCCGAACATCTGGCAGCATGGCTTCTAAAGCCGACAGGGACGGTTCTACTGCCACCTTCCTCCGCCCAGAACAGGCCTCACCAACTCCGGAAGCTCTGGAGTCAATTCCTCGCCGAACGCGAGGAACGCGCGCGTTAGGAGCTCCACCGGTGCTCGCTTTCACCGGTGCCTCCGTGGGATCTTCGAACCGGCGATGGTGACAGCTCGCGGGGCGCGGACGAACACCCGGCCGTGCACGGATGGTCCGTCGGGTCAAGCGGCAGTGCACGGAATAAGAGGGAAATGCCACGCTGATCAAGGTTGTATAATATATTATATATATATCTATTATATATATACAGCGAATCTCGCAACTCCTGACACCTTCATGGAAGGCGTAGCCGCGTAGCCTTCCTCTAGAAACCAGTGTGGCTGGGACGAATTTCTTCCATTTCATTCAGCTCGACTCCTCCGGACCCCATTGCGTGTCTCCTTCAGTGACTCCCAATGGGTAGCTGGGAAGCTTCTTCGCAGATCTGCCAGAGATGATTCAGCTGCATCCAGTGTTGCAGCCTCAATTCTCAGTCACCCTGGAGTCTCTGGAGCCCAAACTCACATTTCAGGGTGCCTGGCTTGCTCTTGACCCACAGTCAACTCAGTACCTCATATCCTAATTTATTATTGATTAATTGATTCATACGGCTCCTAGAAAGGATCCTCCTCCGGAATCTGCCGACCGTCACCGTCGAGAAGGCATGAGGGATCAGCCAGTTCCTCTCCCAGCCGGACTCGACGAGGTTTGGCTCTTCAGGGGTCGAACTCCAACGAACAGACCCTGTTGGCCTTCCCACCCTGCGATGAGCCCAAACAGAGCCGGACAGAGCCCGGCAGCGTATTGCCGATGAAGATGCGACTGTCGGTAAAGCACGGACATGGCAGGCTTCACACTCCTCAGTGTTTGGGCGGAGACGCGCGAAAAGAGCGCACACGCAGGTTCCGGCCAGCCATTTGGGGTTAGAATGAGTATATAATATATATATATATGTTTAAATGAGTTAAAGAGAAATTGCACCGGACGAACTACCCCTGGTGCGGCTGGGACGTTGTAGTATCACGGCCGGCTCCCTTCAGAAGGTGTTCTGAGGTTTACAGTTGACAGATCAATACGCTCACCCGCAGAGATCACAAAAAACATCCACGACCACCTCTTTGATTTCTCAACAACGAACCGGTTCATCAGCCTCGCCATGCCGCTCGGTCCAACGATGGGGTCGGGCCATGGGGTCAGTCGCGCGAAGGCGAAGGGTGGGCGGGTTGGTGTCTGAAAATGGCAAGTCCGTGGGGCCTATTGTCCCGGGTGCGGGGCTGGTTCTCCTGAAAATGCCAAGGCACGGGGCAATCATGTGAAACGATGTGTAAAAAATCTGAGTGTCGACCGACGTCGCATCCTCCTCCTGGAGATTCGCGAAGGGCATTCGGACAATTCGGAAAAGGGGCGTGATCTTGTTGAATCACAAAGTTGCAGAAATGATGGCAAGCTGTGACAAACATGTGTTCTTGCCTTGACCCTTGGAAAGGGATGTCGAGAAAACAATGGGACAGCCTCGAAAAAAGTGATGGCCCCTCATATATAATTACTAAGTAACATATAGTAACGTAACAAATGGAAACAGTGCAACAACAAACAAAACAAGGTGAGCACGAAAAGCCAAAAGCAAAACAGGGGCATGCTGTTTTTTGCTGAGCTGTTGGTGAAATCTGCATGCGGGCGACGACGCGGGAGTACGAAGCAGAACGTCAGAGCCAGGAAGCAACTAGCAACCAGAAGCTACCAAACGGGGAAAAGAATGTGTGAACAAATATGAAGTGTTCAGTGAGGAAGTTGAGGGTCCAGTCTGTAGTTTCCCGTGCCCTTTGCGGGCACAGACTGGCAGGGACTGATGTCAAGAGTTAGCTTTAAAAAAATAGTAATAAAGGTAATTGTGTTCTGTTCCCCTTTGGTGCAACATAGGGTGCCAAAAGTATGCGGTGAAGAGTCCAATCCGTTCAAACCCGTAGGTTGATATGTAAACGTCTGAAGAATGTTCATCTGATTTAATTCTGTCGCAGGATGGTTTTTGGATGTCTAGTTGCATGGTTTGCTGCTTCGGGTTTCCCCCTTGGAGGCTAGGATACTATCATGGTTTGACCAAGGAGATTCAGATTTAAATCTGTCTCATCAAGGCCAGTGTCACTGTTTGAGAAAAAGCCAATGTTGGATTCAATTCCTTTTCTGATGTTGTTTACGATGTTTGTTTGGATGCCTTTGGGAGATGAATCAAACAGAAAGGTTTGGACGAGGAAGGGCCAACCAGCCTCATCAAGGCCACTTTTTCAGTTCATGTGTCCACAGTGTTCTTTGGGATGTCTGCTTAGGGTATAGCTTGGGGAGATTAGTCAAATGGAAAGGTTTGACACAGCCTCATACAGGCCAGTTTTTGAAAAAAAGACTTGCAGTATATAACGTTGGACCTAATTCGTTTACATTATGTTTTTGGGATGTCTGTTTCGGGTATACCTTCGGGAGATTAGGAACATAGAAAGGTTTGGACCAGGGAGAGTTGATAATAGCATCAGAGAAGAGTGGACAACTGAAATTAAATTTCGAATTCAGTCCTTCATGAAAATTGAGCAGCATTTTGAAAACGTGAGTAAAGTCTGGAGGTAATTCTTGGTAGAACAAGTGCAATGAACAAGAATCAAACCTAGAGGTGATTCTTTTATGCCAAGACACATGAAAAGAATAAACTCTGGAGCTGATTCATGGAACTACCATGCCAGCAGACTCAAATGACGAGAACTATACTCCTTTTCTGTGAAACCAACAGACAGTGCACTTGATCTTGCAAACACACGTAGTAGTTGCGTCCTGCCATTTGCTCGTGACGGTGCGAAGTTTGTTGAACTCCTTGGGGTTTTCTGCTGGTCTATCAGCGGAGCATTGACAGTTCCCACGGTGTCTTATTGGCCTGAAGCAAGTTCTGATACGGTGAGCACAGCTGTGTGCACTTCTATGTGCGAAGAACATCTTGCCCGGTGGCTGGAGATTCGTCAACTCCTCCTCTAAAAGCTGCCAGGAAAGCTCCAAGCCAGGGTGCATCATGTGCATCGTGGTGTTGCGTTCCGCCCCGGTAAGGTATCACGTCGAACGGGCGAGCAACGAGTTGTCTCGACAGATCCACACGCCCACCGTCCCTGGACCGCACTCCTCCCCTCCGGTGCCGCGAAGTATGTTCCACTTCAACATGTCCATCATCCTTCCTATTCCGAAATCTTCCGCAAGGGTCATTCTGCCATCTGCAGTGCCTCAGCATTTTCTCGTTCCCAGATCCTTTAGGAAAAACAACCAGGAGGTTGCTGCGCAAAACCCAGATGCCGTCGAAAAAGAATAGAATGCCAAACGCCCTTCCCAAGCCCCGGAGGGTCCTGCTGCCACAAGAGATCTTGAACCTGCGAATCGGCCGCCTGCGCGAGATCCGTGGACTCGTGCGGCGAACGTCGCGTCGCCCCCATCGGTCTGGTCCGTTCTGGTCCCGTCCCACACCTCCAGCGCATACTGCAGGTTGCTGCGCAGAAGGATACAAACCTGAAAATTCCGAAAGGCTGTTTGGGCGCTCCAAAAGGTGATGCTCCTGTCCGAAGCAAAGCAGCAAAGCCAATCAAAGGTGTCTGTTCGAAGTTGCTTCATCAATACACACACGTTGTAAGCAAGCATAGGTCCAATCTGCCGCGAAAACAGGGAACCTGAATCATCTAGTGATATATCATGTCCCTGTTCTGTGTTTGGTTTAGAGATGTTTAGAGTCTAGATTGTGCCCTTACTAAACCAAAAATATCGGCCACCCTGTCAAAAATCATGACCGAGTCCCATTTTTGATGGCAGAACATGCGCATGGCAGCTTGTTGAGGCCTCTATATAGGCTGTGTAATGAAATCAGTTGCTTTCCTCGAAAAGCAATGATTGGCCCAGTTGACCATGGAAAATCTACTGAGACAAGCCATTGTCCAGGTTCCTTGACCTCAAAAGTCCAATCAGCGGGTGTTCCTTGTCATAAAAAGGTGTTGGGTGGTGACTGTGGAACTGCATTATTGTGGTGACTGGGTCCGCCCAGTCTCTCTCATAGGTCTCCAACACACTCCAAGGTAAAAACCCAACAGCAAAGGGACACAATAATTGGATAGATAACAGTCTCTTTCACAACCCCGTTTTTCTGATAGAAATTGAACATCGCATAAAGCAAACTTGTAGAAAGCAGAACGGGAACCCGAATTCCTCTTCCAAAAATATGGTTCCTCTTCGAGGGATCTGGCCCCATCCGGACGCCGAGATGGGGAGAAGTCTTTAAACGGCCTCATCCACACGAAGGAAGTCGGTTGGAAACCAGAGTTTTATACACAAAGCTTACTTAGATTCGAGGGGATGGTAACCGGCACACCAAAAGTCTCAAAAGTCTTGGTTTGAGAGGGGGGTCGAACGTCTGTGTCAGTTGTCCAAAAGAAGAAGCCGAGAAGCCAATGCCAAACCAATGATGCCAACGCACAGAATCGGTGCGGTACCATTTTGGACTGCCATATAGTTCTTTTGTTGCTCCATACTTGCAGGTCCCCCACGCCCAGTCGGATTCAAGCCATGTCACTCGATTTCGAAGGTGGTCGAAGGTATTCCTAGCAGCACAAGCGCAAGCAGCACATGCATGCCGACCCTTTTGGAGTGGTCGATCGGTGTTCTCATTCCCTAAAGTCAAAGATGGTCATACAAAACCAATACTTAAGGAGGTAAACAACCAGGTTTTACTGGGTCTTTCGACTTGTAGGGATTCATCAACCTGTTCCTGCAACCCGTTCCTGCAACTTGGAGCGTCCAGGAAGTCATAGCGCGACTCGACAAAGGCCGCTGCAGCTTCCAAACCTCCGGCCGTCGCGGCTCTTCACGAGATGTTTCACATATTGTCACAAGGGGTGAAATATGTTCACGAGTTCACAATATGTTCAAGGTTTCCCTGAAAAAAATAAAACTCAAATACTTTGAACATGTTCACAATATCTTTGTAAGGTTTCCCTGTTTCATCATGATGTTCACGCAGCTTGGCCACCGGGGTGTTTTTATTGTGCATAATGCACCAGACACACGACTGCGTAGTCTGTGGAAGTAAGGCGATCTGGCTTTACCGTAGCATCTTGACTATTCTGGCCTTGAGATTCCTTGCACCCTTTTTCTCTGTGTCCAACCTCCTGAAAGGTCCACCCAGTTTCGCGTTTCGCCTGTAGCAGAAGCAAACATCCATTGAAGAATCCCCTCCCCAGCAGCAGCGGTCTTGTGGTCCGCGACCGAGGGAACTCACTTTGGTCACCCTTCCATCCACGTGACGCGATCGACGGCGACCGTCGATGTGTAGGACGCCCAAGAGACGCTGCAGAAGCTCCTCCAGCTGGACCGGTCGTGACACCAGCTCCGAGTCGTCCAACTCCTAAGCCACGGAAACAGGGGCGCGTCGATGCTGGGGGTGCTGGAACTGGAATTCGAACGTTGTCACCTGGTTGTTCAAGAAGCTACTATAATAAGCTTAAAGGGAATTACTGGCGTTCTGTTCTTCACCATCCAAAAGCTTTTATTCGTGCAACTTCTACATGGTCGGCCCACCTTGATTGAGGCCCAAATCCAGTGTCTAATGATTCTAATGTGTGTTCCTGTGTCTATATGATTCACCAGAAAACCTTTGGTGAAACCGTCACAAAAAAACAGGCCAGAAGAGAAATCACACCTACAATTCCCATCGTTTGAATAGCAGCTTTCCATGTTGGGTGACATGGATTCCGCAAAGAAACTGGCAACAGAATGTTCCATCGCAAGAAAGTGAAAAATCAAGAACATGAAGGTAGAACGGCAAAAACATTTTTTGTCATCTGCAAAATACAAAAACAGTTTCAAAACACCCTTGCCTTGGCGATGGAGTCAAAGCAGCACAAGGCTTCTAACCTGCAGTTCTTTGAGCAAGAAGGTTCCAATTCCACAAAACACATGCGTCATTCCGAATCATCAAAACATCTCTCAGAGAAGGCTTGTCCAAACTCTTTTAGACGTTGGGGTGCTAGTGCGCCATCTGGTCAGTTTTAGAGTATTTCTGGCCTCCCAGCAATCTGCTCTGCATAGGCATTAAGATGGTCTTGATGTTCCAAAGCCTCCTCGAATGCAGGATGGCTCAGGATGGGAGAACGAAAACACTGCGAACTTGAACATGCACAGTCAGCGGACAAGCGTGTGATCACTCAGCTCCCTTTCTCGCGCATCTCGGACCGGAACGGAGAATACGGCTACCGGCCGGCAGGGATGGCGGGAACACCTCTTTTTGGGGTGGAAAATGGAGCTACAGCTACTTCACCTGGTCGAGAATTTTGAGGAAAAAAAAAGGAAGTGCGACGTCCCGATAAAACCGCCGCGGGTCGCATGAAGGGTACAGGGACAGGTGGGAGTGTAAAACCAAGAATGTGCAAAAGGAAAGAGAGAGAGAGAGAGAGAGAGAGAAAAAAAAAGAAGAAACATCTATATAAATATGAAGGCTACCTAAATGATGAAGTCCAGTGAAACCGAAAACATCAACAAAGCAGGGAGGCAGGAAACCAAAGCGGCACGAATCGACATATGGCATTTGCACAGGATAATGACTGTTGCTTCAAAGGATGCGTCCTCACACATGGTGCTCCTCCCGACATGATGCTTGTTTTCCCCACTGGTCCTCCTCCATTGCCATGGTGCTTAGGTGCTGAGGATCTAGGGATCTGAACGACACCATCGGCTGCGTCCAGATGAATCCGGGGAGCTCCGAACACCACTCGGCAAAAGCCCAAACCCAGTCGGACCGGGCGAACCCTCGTCGGCGAACCACATGAAAGAGAGCATGGAAGTCACATGAAGTCACCAGCTGTTCCCAGCTGAACACGACACCTTCCGAAGTCTCCTGGCAATGGTTTCGAAGCCATATCGTCTTCCGCTCCAACTCTCGTTGCTCTGCCTGGACCACGAGAGTCAGCCCCCGGCAGACCCGACAGTCCAGAATCCGACCTACGACAGACTGACTAGGGACATCCGACCTACGCCAGTCTGTCTCTACCGTGTCCACAGACGGTCTACAGCAAACCCAATGTAAATCCCCCGAGACCCCCAGACTTGCCACTTCTGGTTGCATAGCCTGACAGTCTTCCCCTTGTTTGCACGCTGGCTTTGGACAAAAGTCAACATGGCATGACATAAATATGGTATTGCAACACAATCATTATGATCCTTCTCATTCTGGTCAATGGCCCCCAGTATTTCTGCTTACATCTCTCCATCTCTGCTCCCCAGTGCTTGCCACCTCCGCCGAACCAGCCAGGTGGACAGCCGAAGCGCGCCTCCACGTGCTTCAGCTTCGCCATCACCAGCTGCTGGGCCTCTTCCGCCGCGGAACTGACCTGGTGCAGCTGCTGGAGCCATCCAAGGCCTCGGTGTGTGGCGCCGAGCCCAGGGCGCTCGAGGCCTTGGGTGGGAAAGGCACCGCTTCGGTGGGGGCAGCATGGTTGGAATTAATCCATGGCAGCACATGGATCTGTAGGTGGAATGGGAAGACTACAAGGCTTATATAGGCAATCTATAGCCCCTCCATGGGAACTTTGAGTCTTTCCGCATGGGTCTTTGTGACCCTTAAGAGCCTAGAGCTCTAAAGGGGGCAAAGGCCGGTTGCTTCTGTCCAGTCTCCAATCTCCCGATTGGAAGTGGCAGCTCGCGCCACAATGGAAGAGGTGACCTACCCGATGTCCAAGTGGCGTTGGCTTTGAGCATCACCTTCTTTGCCTCGGAGTCACTCGTTTCCCCCAGAGGACGCGTCACTCGTGTGGAGCTCCGAGGAACTGAAAGCGGGTGGTGTTGAGGAAATGGTTCAGCTCAGTCGCTTGGGTTCCATCGACTGAGTTGTGTAGCCTAGTGTCGGATGTCTGGGCTTTTTTGTGGTGCTTGCGAAAGCAGCTTTGTTCCAGAGGTGGGTCACGGCCAATGCAAGAAAGCTACCGTTCGCATCCTGGTTCTTCGCTCCCGTTTCGATGACACTACATGAGACGTTAGCTCTGGGCGCCGTTCAGAGTTCTGTTCAGATTGATCTGTTGGATTTCATGGTCCAAGACCTGGCAACCTGTGAAGAATGTGATCTCCGAGAGCCTCGCAGCTCCTTCAATGCTATGACAGGAGGAATTTTCAACTTTCTGTGGATGCGCATCCAAAAGGGACACCCCTCTGCTCAAGCAAACAGAATCCCCGTTGTCATTGGAGATCTACCTCAGTTGGAGATCTACCTCAGTTGGAGATCTACCTCCGTTGATCTAGGCTGGAGGCCATCGCCACGAACGTAACAAGAAGCTAGTAACAAGTGCTTCCTGGGTCTGCCTTCCTCTCAAGTCTGCCGCGGCACGCCGAGCTGCCTGGCAGGTGACCGGGGGGTCCACCGGACTTGGAGAACTGGGTTGATGAGTCGAAAATGGACATTGGGACGGTGTTTGATTCAGCCATATGGATGTGTGTTAAGAAGAATAGAGAACCTCCCGACAAAAAAACACATCTGGTCAAAAGGTAAGAGAGATCCAAAGCTCAGAAGAACGGTATTGCCAAGCGAGCGGGTCCAAGCGGGTCCAAATGATGTCATATAAAAGTTATCATAGAACCCCCCAGTGTCTCATCTGAGGAATCTGCAAGTGGATTTCACAATTGGAGATGGGTGTCCCACTTCCAAGCTAGCTCTTGGTGCCCTTGGTTCACCACATGTTCAGCCTGCAATTCATGGGGACTACGAGGTCAGTGACTACCAAGCCATGCATTCCCCATGCATTCCCCATAGGTACCTCCTAGGTAGAAGCCAAACCTCTGGGCCCCAAAGAAAGGCCCCATCAGAAACCGCTCTCCCCGGTCTCCCCAGTCATCTGTTCACCCAAAGTGACCGCTGCGGAGCGACCGCGGCCTGCTGGTCGAGGCATCTCTTCCGCAAGGCCTGGCGATAGACCCGAACCAAGTCTCCCCCCTTTAACGAAGGGGAGTCAAGAAAACACCCCAGGTTCCCCAGACCACGGGTCAAACGTTGGAAGTTGAGACCTGATGTATACCACTCAATTACGTGTAGATGTAATGTGTATATATATATATATTGTGTATGAGTATGTATGTGATTGCCTAACCTAGGTACACTCCGAAGCTCTGATGAAAATTATTTGTTGCTTCCCATGCGCCACAGCATCAAAAGAAGGCCCGTGCAACTGAAAAACTGAGACCTCCTGCCTGCTTGGGTCTGTCTCACGGCAAACTAAATGATTTGGATTGATTTTGGAACTGATGAACAACAATTAATAACCTAATGCCTCACCTTGTCGTCATTTTCGTTGAATTTTGATGATTTTTGCACGTGCTCTCGCCATGCGGTGTAACCAACACCACTACGTTACATCGCCCAAACTGCCTGAAATGCAGCGAAGTCATCGCAGAACTTCGCGTCTTCTTCGGGCGCCTCCTTCAAGGATCGGACGAAAGCAAGACGAAGGCGCCGTCTTGCGGTGCGCTGGTGGTAGAAACGTGGGGGGTCTCTTCGTCCCGGGGTGAAAGGGAGGGAGGGCGAAATCCCCCGGCTGCCCCCGGGTGATTCTTCCGCCAAGTACTGGTTCCAAGGCGATCCAAGGGCAAAAGAAATCCAACACCTCGGCAAGTTCGAATAGGGTTGGGATGATGCAAAACACTGGGGAGAATTGTGGTGACTTGCTACTTCGGGGTCAGCAACAGGCCATAAAGATTGCCTTTCGTACACCCAATGGAAGTGGGAAACCCCAGAAAGTGCAGGCCACAACATGTTTTATTGATATGTGAACAAGTCTGCTAGCAACAGTGCTAACTCTACCAGGCTTGAAGTGAAGATGGGTACAGGTTTACCACCAAGCCAAGATCCACCAGCCAAAGTTGTCTTGTTGCTCAGTATTTTCTTTAATTCAAGTCTTCATCCCTCCAGTGGCTGACTCTGCAGAGCACCGGAAGTGCTTGGATACCGACAGTCCCCCGACGCAGGAAGAATATATAGTCATTGAATAGTCCGATTCACTGGCTTGCAGGAGAATGAATAGTCGCCCTAGAACAATAACACAGCAAAAGCAACTTGAAGAACAAGGCGTATAAACTGATGTAAATCAGCTGCAGCCCAAACCTCCCATCCATTCCAAACCTTGCTTTAGGGTCATCTAGTCATCTAGTCATCAAATAGAATCAATGAAGATTTCATGGAACATCCTTCTGCACAGTTGGTGATTTTGCGGATCCGGCTTCGGCCTCCTGGCAGCTGGCCAACTCCTGCCAGCTGGCCAAACCGGACCATCGAATTCAAACCTTCAACGACATTCAAGTGACACATTCGTGTCACTGCCGCGTTGGCCTTGCAAGGGACTAAGGGAAAATGTATGTTTAACATGTTTTAACCAGAATCACATAAAAGAAAAGAGACAGAGAAAGTGAGAGAAAACAAATATCCTAAATTCCTTCTGTAAACCCAAGTATTGCTTTGCGCCTCCAGCAATTTTTCCTGCCGCACTGGCAGGACCACATCCTCCATCTCGCTCCATGCACCCTTCTCCCAAACACGGCGGGACGTCTCCGGACGTCCCGTGAGGCCGTCAAGGCTGGTGAGACCGGGCGAGGTCGGCGCGATGTTGGATGAGATTCAATTCGGCCTCTTTGACGGACTGGGAAAGCCAAGCGAAAGCCAAGCCTGATCGTGACTTTAGTGTAGAGACTGATCCTGTCTGTGGGTTTGGAGTTGTCTTTTCTGTGATGTTTTGATGAGCTCCATGCCATGAACTGTCTGCTTCATCTAATATATATATATATACATATACAGTATATGACCACGCCCAAACGTGGCCAAATGGCTGCAGGCATCAGATCATCATAAAGCTACCATCAATCAAACGGCGGGCTCTTCTTTCAAAACGGAACATATCGACATCAGCATTCCTCTTCACCCTCAGAGAAGCCAAGGACCTCCAAGGACCACAGACAGAAAGAAATAACTCCATGAAACCTCTCTCAGAGTCTAAACACGTCCAATATCTTCCCCACCCCGAAGTCTCGCAGCCCGGATCGCCGTCGCAAGATCCTTCCTCGCTCGATGAAACACGGCAGTCTCCCGTGGCCGCCGTGGCGGCCGCCTCTGCGTTGCCGTGGCAAAAGAGGATGACACCAGCAGCCCGCGGGGCTGGAAGCCTGGCGAGTGGGTTGCAGGTGGAGCCTGACCACCAGGTGAACCCAAGATCCTCGAACATGAGGGTTTGTGGAGCTTCAAAGTCTAATCTGTGGGTTTGTGGAGCTGGCTGTTCTGCGAGGCGAAGAACTCTTCATGACTCCGGCTCCACCTCTTCAGATCCCCAGCAAACACCTCTCAACTAGAGATCCGCTGATCCAACTATATATAAATGGCAGTCAAATCTTCTGTACCGGAGCTTCACTAGAGATCAGCCTCCCTTTGGCGCTGAAGGCGTCCCACCATGTTTGGGAGCTGTTTTCAAAGAACATGCCCCTTCAGAACCACCTTCACAGAAGCCTCCGCAGGGTCCCTCATGGTGCATCGGTCCAGGGTGCGGCCCGGCGCACGACCCGACCGATCCAACTTCCGGACACGGCCCCGGTGAGCGGGACCATCTGGGAGCCACTGAGAGGACCATCAGTGCACGTGGAGCCACCGGGCTGGGGAGGAACTCGTCCTTTATCACTTGGCCTTTAAACAACTCATAACAACTCAACAACACATGACATTGATGGTTTCGATTCTAAGGCATTGAATCTGTGGAGAAAACGTAAAAAATCCCCAAGAGCCGTCCAAGTTGAACGTCCAAACACAACGTCGTACTGCCAATCGCCCGTTCGGTTCCTTCGTCTTACCGTACCGAACGGCAGTGTAGTTCCAGCACTGGCGCTCTCAAAGGCCCACGAGACGGCAGTCCCAGCGGTTCTCAACAGGTCGGAGGTGCCACACGCACGGAATGCCCTCAGCAAACCTGGGCTGGTCGTCCGTGGGATGCAGTCGTTACACGGCAAAACACACACGGTCATTCTGTCGGTCTTTTTCTGTGTCGCTCGCATGCATGATTTTTTATGCGATGCCAGTGCCCCAATACCTCCTCCGCTGCTCCCTGGAGTGGGTCTCCTCCGTTGGTCTCTCCGCTCCGCCGGTCCGGGGGGTCCGTCCGTTGGGTCCGTTCCACCAGCCATCCACATCAGCCCTCCTCCAGCGTTGTCCGGTCACCCACGGGTCGTCAACGGGAGTGAAGAGCCGCGCCTCTCGTCGTCGACCCGTTCGGGAGACACCTTGGGGTTGACAGAGGCTGAAAGAGGCGCAGGGACGCAAGAGGAAGCGTTCAGAATCAGAAGAGTTTTCAGAATGCAGAATCAGAGTGGCCGGCCTGCTTTCACACAACTGCTACGCGTTTCAGGCTCTCTGGGGCTCGACCCAGCTTGACCCAGCTTGACCCAGGCGCCCAGGCCGCCTCGTTCCAAGGAATCCAGCACAAATGCCTTGGTGAGACTGGGCTATGGTGCAAGTTGTGTGATGACCATCGGGAGCGGCTCAGACCTTGGACAGACCAGTGGTTGACTCATCTTGGACAGACCTGTTGGTTGCAAAAGGATTCAATGAATTTCAATTATACAACAATTATATAAATCATCAAGACATCATTCCTCAATCGGCTTGGTGACGTCCAGCCACTCCTTCAAACGGGGGTGAAAACCCTCCGCCGCTCCAAACTGACCCACGCATCTCTCCAAACGGGCGGCTTCTTGAAGGCGTCCTGCGACAGATGGGCGTGGATCGCGGATGCGCCCAAATCAAGTGTGATCGACATTCATCATCGATTCTAGTGGATTGATAGTCAGATGGCGCAATCCCCAAGTTTGGAGGTTATAATATGTGGCCCCCATATACAAAAACAAACCGTGGGGGTTGTGCCATTTATGTACTCTGAAACCACCGTAAGAAGTGGGTGTGATCCACGGTGGCTTGGGCATAAATCCATGGGAGAGTCAGAAATCCCAACCACCGGCGGGCGAAGCGCCTGTCCACGCCTATGGACACGTATGACACGTACGCGTGCTCGTGTACGCGCATAGCGCGCTGCCCACGTGCTCGTTCGTGGAAGCGGACCCTCTGCGCTTCGGATCCAGCGGACCCTTCTGTGGGGGGTCGCCCGAGCGGAAGAACCGAGGGTCGAAACCAAAGAAGGTCGGCCAGACAGGGACAGGTCGATGGAAACACCGGCGCTCCCCGGTCCTTGCCGTAGGTCGGCTGCGGTGCTGGGAAGAGCAACTTGTCGATGAAGGCCGACCTCAGTTGAGGTGAATGGGATGTGAGAAACCCAACGAATTGTTTGGGGCATGTGCACACATATTGAATATTGCATATAGATACATCAGATACGTTATGTCTATATACATATATTATAAATTATAACTATAAAATATCACGAGTCACAAACCTCTGACTTGTCCAAAGGAAGAGCTGAGCCGGCAATCCTTGATATAGCCGCTCAGTGGGCTAGCCAAGTGCTGAGCGGTTTGTGCTAGATGATCGAACCAGACCGTGATTTACAGGGGCCAACGCGAACCAAATCCACCCATATGTGAAACCCCCACCTCTCTTCTCGTCAAAATCAGCACTTCGTGTGAGTTGCATTGCTCTCCAAAGCACCAGCCCACAGCTTGGAAAGGAACATCGTCAGCCTCCAAAAGCCCAGGGGTAGCGCCCCAGCCCTCTCCTTTTGACGCCTGGGCCCTTCGGAGGCTGAACCGCTTCGGAGGCCCCTGGGCCCCGGCATAGAATGCCGGTCGCATGCCCCACCTAACCGGTTCGTCGTCTCCGTCGGGCGAAATGAGGTTTCAGAACACCACCACACACGGTAAAGACCTGGCAGGCAAAAGGATCAAAAGGTCTGATGAAAGCATGTCTTGCTTCACCGACTTTTTGTTGGTGAAGCTTCACTCGATTTCGGTGGGAGTCGTCCATCTTTGCTCGAAAGTTTCGACGTTCCAGCTTGCCATGGTGCCAGCTCATGACTCATGCCTCAACAAAGTCACCCCATTCATCCTCCCTGCCACCTCCAATTTGGGATGTGTCGTATGGGGGGCTCACTGCGCCATGGCACTCTGAGTTTACTCGAGTGGGAGGAAGGGGCGAAGGCAAGTTCTCGATGCTTTTGTCTCGTCGGATCTTGGGGGCGCACAACTTCCGATCTACATGAAGTGGTATTATGAAAACAGCCGCTTCATGAGCGAGCGATGGGTCGAAAGTGGATCATTCCGTGTCCATGGTTTGGGTCGACATCAATTGGAGTGCAAAGCTTATGTTGAAGCGTGCTACTGGATGGATGTTCATCGCCATGAGTGTCATGAAGTCTTTGCAAGAAGCCTTGAGCCGGTGTCATCCAAAATCATCTCACCAGTTCCTGGTTCTTCATTTTGGCGTGGGGTCGATCTTCGCAAATACCGATTCAAGTTGGAGCGAACGCACAATGAGGCGAACAAGCAGCGCAATGCCCGCAATAACTACAAATCAGCTGAACATCTATGCAAAATTCATCACATTTCGCCATCCTCCAGCGATTGACTTGATCATCTCCCCTACCTGGTTTCGCGTGATTTGCTTCTTCAGAGCACGGTGTCGGTTTCGAGTGCAGCTCGTGGGGTGCTGTTGCGCGACCCCAAATCGTGCAAGGAGGCGCGGAAGAGGCAGCTATGACATGGGGTCCAGTACAAGTCATATCACAAAGACCCACTGCTAACTGCTAACCTAAAAAGCACCAGGTCAGGGTTGTGTAAGCATGTCCTCAAGTCTATTGAAATTGTTAACCTGTTTCCTTTCGTACATCGTACTGGACATCCACACAAGCTTAAGCGCCAGCGTAGTATAACTCCGCATCAAAACGTCTCTGGTGCCAGAGCGGTGTATGTACCAGGAAGAGCCCTGCCCCGTAGCCCTTCAGCCTTTCAGTGCTGATCTGCTTGACAAAGCTGGAGGTATTGTGCACTTGGCCTTGCAGTTCCCTCTTGCACCGGTCTTTAAATGTTGTGTTCATGCGTGGCAGCCATTGCGGTGATGACAAAAATGGAAACAACATGAACAACCATGCACACATATGCCCACTACACTGACAGGATCAAACCTGATGACTTGACATGGTCTTCTCCAGCCCGATGCGGGACTGCGCCCTCGACACAGCCTTCCCCAGGTCCCGGAAAGTGGAGCGTCCGTGACGTTTCGCACGGACGACTGCCGAATGACACTCGTGGACTAACCGCCGAGGTCATGAACATTGCCCTGTCCAATGTCCTCCTGTGCTGCCCAAAGGGATCCCGAAGGGCTTACTCATAAGCCAGGAAGCTCGAACGGAGACGTCCTGCGGTCTCAGACTAGAGTTGTAGAAGCAATAAAGCAAATAGTTTATCGGCATCTCCTAGGATTCTAAACCTGGTCACCTATTCCCTTGCCTTTCTGGTGCTCGATCATACAATCATGCCCATCAAGTTTCAATCTTTGGGATGTTCCACAAAAATATGCATAAA